TGCACGTGATGGCCAAGAAAAGGTGTCTTATTGACTTTCTCAATGAAGCCTGAGGTTGTGGACTGCATTCACCGGGCTCATGAACATGTGCTGCAGCCACAATTGCTCTAAACACCAACTGAGTGTAGCTTGCGATGCTATGCAGCGGAGTTAAGAGTCAAGAGCATTTATTGAACCAGCTAGCTAGACTTAAGAGCAAAAAAAGAGCATTGCACGATCTCACTCTTGCTTTTCCGAGCTGTTTCATGTATGTAGCATCGTCTGAACACACGAACACACCAAGCCAAGAACCATTGATCATTTGCATCCTATTGTTGTTCGAGGTAATTGAAATATCGTGGCATTGGCAATGTTTGATGTTGCCCGTGTAGCTGGAAGGCCCTCCGAATGCTGTCGCTCCACTTTTGAACCTGCTAGCAAGTAAATTGCCACCTCAGCTTTTCTTAAGTTTTGATTTCTCTCAAGATGGCCATGTAAAGGTCATAGTCATAGGTTTTGTTGAGTGTAACATGCACAGGCCTTTTGTCAATTGGATGAGACCATACTTGGCTGTCCAAGTCCTAGGCCCGTCAACCCTTGATCCATGCAGAACCAACATGCTGTGTGATGTGTTGTATGCTATTTGCGACGTTTCAGCGTTGCAGGCGTACTTGTGACCATCCAGGCTGGAATGCCTGGACGAACCCCTTCACCTTTTGGCAGTCTTTTTTGAGCTAAGGACAGAAGTTGAGGGTAAGAGATAGTCTGTAAATGTGTTTGTCAATATGATAGACATACTACAAGTAATGTGTTTCCAAATGCATGTAAAGATCAACAATTATAGTACGTTACTATAGACGTTACTTCTGTTGGTAGAGTGTGAGGGAAAGAGCTCTCCTAAGAATCACGTTTAGCATGCAAAGAAAGGCCACTGGAAGACGTTCTACACTATCGCAGATTCCGGGGTGGTCGGTGGTACCTGTGCAGTCTTCATGGAATGCGTGACCGACGTGTTGACATTGCTGTGCTGAACATCCTCGCAGTCTTCTTGCTGTTGTTGTTGTTGTTGTTACCTCGGAGAATTTGCATAAACAGAGGTTAATCGGATTTCCTCAAAGTGTCCTTTTCTTGATAGCAAATGCAGCATAATCACTGACATCGCCATCAAGATTGATGTCCAGACACGCAAATGATCACTGTGTGGCCGTCTCTCACCCAGCAGGCCTTTGCTTCGCTCCAACGAAGACCGATCACTGCCTTGAGGCACCTGACACCAAGCAGTAGAATGGAGTGGAACACTTTAAATCATCGCTTGACTTATTATCATTGTTGTTTAGTTTTTTAATGGCATTCGTTCATTAAGTTTTGACAATCTGAAAATCGCAGGGCACGAATTCCACAAGAAGCTGATCCCAATGTGCAGTTGGCAACTGAGCTTATGCTGCACAAGATCTTTGTTTCCGGGATCATCTTCATTGAAATCATGTTGCTTCGTAAGACTAGGTGGCACCCGATGATGAAGAAAGGAAGGACAGCAGCAATGAAGATTGAGCAGTGTAGATATTTGATTTCTTTGCATTAGTATGAAAGTCTGAACTTGCAGGCTTTGCAGGCTGCAAGTGCATTTCTGCACTGCAATTTCCGCAATCCATGCAGGCCCCCGGGACCGCTTAAGCTGCCTGCGTCCTTTGAGGCCTGTGAACACTCGATTTTGCGGCCTGATGAACCTTGACCTTGACTTCCTGCATTTCTATATGTAGCACAGTGCACTCAGGCTTGTCCAAATGACAAGATTCTTCAGAAGTATCGGTGACATGCGTTTCATCCCATGCTTCAAATGGGGTTGAAGACTCTTGCTCAATACTATTCCACATCTCAAAGCTCAAAAGCCCAGAGTGAGGTTCTTTGGTGCATACCTTCATGAACTGAACCTTAGCCATTCTGACAAACACAACCCAAAGCTCAAGGCTCTCTCATGTCGGCGCGGCACCATCTTAAAGCTTCTGTCATGGCCGTCTTTAACGCCATTGCATGATCTCGGGCACGCGCAATGCAACCACAGTGTCATCAGCCTGCAACAATCCCAGAAGCAGCAGACGAGAGCTGCAAGCTGCAGCAGCAGCAGCTGATGCTGCAGAAACTTCTATATAAAGCCTTCACCCTTGCAGCTCCACCAAATGGTGCGTGCGTTGTTGAAGGCGTTCCAGAGACACCAGCCGCCTCCGACAACGCAGCAATCGCCACTGCAGCCGCCACATTCAAAACTTTGGTCGTATCCCACCAGCTCACTCTCAGGCCTGGACGATGCCGCTGGCTCATAGAAGTTCGCCAAATGCAGCCTCCTCGAAGTAAACATCTCCCTATTTTGGAAGCTTCTCGAGGTCTCCATTCTAATTGTGATTGAGTGTGGCTGCCGGCATATGTAGTATGGTGATGTCGTCCTGAATGAGATTCGGAAAGCCACACTGGTTGCATGCTCCTTTCGCTGGTGGTCCCTCACCTCCACAAATTGCTTGTCAGGCTCCGCCATAGTGCACCAAGCTCGGAGTTGCTGAGCCTTGTCCACAAAGTTACCACTGTGCAGAAGAACTCTCCGGCTTCACTGGCAACCTCCAACCACACAACTGCTGTGCGTTGGCCTTTGCCATCGCTTCAGATCTACCTTGTACAGCACACACCTCTCTCACGCCCAGACCTTGCCAGTTGCATGTTCGGAGCACATTAGCCTGTGCAAAAGGAGGCCACAGCAAGGCTTCTCTCTCCCCCATGAGACAGAGGAGATGCTTCAGAACCCAAGGCGCTTTTACAAGCAGCCTCTTTTTTGGGAACAGGCAACCTGCTGCACTCACACGCAATGCAAGCTCGTGCCACAAAGCTCATGCCAAACGGAGCTTCTCATCTCCGAGCCCGAGTTAGGCCTTTGGAACGCCTTCAGCGCTCACCTGCTGGTACTTGCTTGATCCCACCCCATCCATGAAAGGAGTGGAATGCACATATGAGTCTGCTCTCAAATCTCTTGCTCTGATGGCTCAGAGCACGATTTGGTGTTGGCGAAGTTCCTGCGAAGCGTGTATCACCTCCAAGTTCCGCTGCCGCTGTTCGAAACTCCTGACATGTGCAGGAACCTTGTGCTTGCGACACTCAGCACGCATGGGCGTTCTGTACCTTGACCTCCACCATCAAAGACTCTCTCAAGTCGTCCTCGCCCATATCTTCAACTGCCTGTGTTGGGTTGACTGGAGTATAGAGTCAGGTGAGTTCTCTCCGACACCTGGCTCCGTCTACAAGCAATCAAGTCTGTCAAAATGCGTGAATTCAAACGTGGCAGCAGCAGAGCCTGATTACTCCCACAGGGCAGTGTTTTTTGAACTGCTCACCGCTTTGCTGCACACGCGCACATAGAAAGAAGAGACACTGGAACATACTAGAACTAGATGACCTTAGTGTATGCACGTATACAGTCGGTACACTAGCCACCGAAGAGGATGTGAAAGAACGGCAGCAAGTCTACAGGTTGTTAAACCAGAAGGTTGAGTTTCAGCCTATGCAAAAGTAAGAAGGTTGGGTGGCAAGAACGTTTGCAAGCAAGTCATCGCACAAAGTCCCGGTTGAACCTTGTTCCTTGGGAGTTCACACGCAAACACACATGCAGTTTTTTTCTTGTGGGCCACTGTGGGACTTGACTTTTCCTCTCGTCAGTCAGGCGTTAACATCTCTTTCCGTCTACACTGCTCCAAGGCCGTTCGTGCTCTTTGAGATTGCAGCTTTTCTTGACACAGAAACCTGGGTTAGATTGTGGTTAGTGGGAGCCTGCTTGCACCCTTAAGGTTAGATGCTGACTTGATTCCTGGCCGAGTAGTGCAGAAGGCAGGTGCCAAGCCTGAATTGTCATTCGAGTTGGAGACAAAATGTTCCTGCATTGCTTGGTGCGCGCACTGCAGGGCACGCATTTCTCAGTGGAGGACCTTTTTTGGGATTATGCAGCGAAACAGGCTGAGGGGTGGGTGAAGAGTGCACAGGAAGTGGTCTATCAAGGAAAGGTGCGTGGACAAGATGCCACTTGGCAGTGTTAGTGACGTTCCGTCCCACACACCAAGAACCAGGCTAGCCAGTTTCAGTGCTCCTTCAAATGAAGGAGAAGTTTCTGGATTGTCAAAATAATTCTCTCAGGTTATTTTCCTGAAGCCAAAGCGAGCGAAGGTCTAAGACATGTCCAGAGTCTTTGAGACTGGCTAGAAGGCTGAATTTCGTCGCTTTGGTCAAAACCTGATCTAGGATTAGATTGGACAATTTTGTGAAGGTATATAATTGTCCAAATTGAATTGCCCATTGTCAATGTCTTAGAATTCACTCTCATGATGCCAGAGCACTACATAGTCGGCTCATTGTCTATATTCTATCCTGCGGATTCCTGTTCTTGATGTTTGAAGTCGTTTCTTTTTTGTGTTTTCATCCTAGGTGTATTACAAAGCTTCAAGGAATATGCCAGATGATGGAGAGGTTTGGGAACGTTTGCTGGAGCTTCCCTTCGCCGAGTCGAGCCTGTGCAAAGGATTACGGGCAAGGAGGATGGCTGTGCGACTTGGGCACCCAGAAAGGGCCATGGTTTTCAAGGACTGCTTTGTATCATTCTGCATCTACCATACACCTTGTCAGGTGTAAACAGTAGCATTTCCAAATAAGCCGTTGGTCATTAATTAGCATTTGCACAGTGGAAGTACCTCTAAGTGAACGGCCTACGTTCTTTTTAATGTGTGTTATGTGTTTTCTTTACGTTGTTGTTTTGTTTTTGAATGCAGGAAGTTAGTGAGACGAATCCGCCTCTAAAGGATGCAAAAGTCTGTGCTCTTTGATGGAAGACATGTTGCATGCTTTGCCTGTCTTTGGTGCGCTTGTTTTCAACACTGGTCCTTGTTTAGCAGGCTACTCAAAGCTTTGTTGGCTCAACACAATTGCTTTGCTTTTGGTGAAGACTGGGTATGGAAAGGGAGGATGCCAAGTCCAGAACGAAAGAGTCAAGCCAAAAATTCAAGACGCGTTGTCAACATGTTTAAAGACGCCATGAACCTGGTCACTGCAAAAAGCTCGGCTTTTTGGCGGCACCCAGAACACATACAGTAGATGAGAGAAAACTGATGAGATGCAAAGAAGAACACTGATGGGAGAAAACTTGGAACTGACCAAGGAGCCAGTGCAGGCTCGTGGCTATGAGTGCAAGCCAATTCCAATGCTAACGATTGTGTGGTATTTCAAGTCTCAGTTGATTTCGTGACAGCCCTTCCTTCTTGGCTTTTGCTTGAACAGTGCTCGGCAAATGGCCAATTTGGCTCAGTGAGCAAACTTGAATCTCGGCCCTGGATCAAACAGTGCCTCAACTGAACAGGACTTTATTGAGAAGCATGAATAATGAAGGAACTGAAAAAGGACAAAAACCTGAAAGTCGAAAGAGAACGGACACGAAATGAAGCATTAAGTATCCAAATACATTCCTTGGTCTGGTAGCTTCAAACCACACAGGGATGATATTGTTATTTTCTAAAGCTGAAGGTGACAGGAAAAAGTATGTTTGGGAAGCAATTTCACTAAAAGCAACAACAATTTCCACTCTCAAGCCACTCTGCTTTCCTGAACCTGTCCAGGCATGGCTTTGGCGGCCAGGATTAGCAGGCGATGGCGGGCACGTGCTTTCGGTCTTCGACCTGCTTGGGACCATTGCGGGGACAACTCCCGAAGCTGACTCAATGTTGCAAATTCGCACTTGGCTGGAACGCTCGTTATGTAGATAGTAGAAATGTTTTGCTTTGGTTTTTGAAGCTCTTGTGCGGAGGCCTTTCGTCCCACGGCTTTTTTCTCGCAGCTTTGCTGCTGCAGCGCCATTCTTAAACTGCCTTGCTGGCACTTCGGAATGTCCTTTTTTGGGAAAGAAGTACTAGCGGTACAATCCTAGCTTTTTGCGCCATTTTCTTCCCGAGGCCCAGCCGCAGACATTTGCCATCTACCGTGCCTTGAAAGGGTCGTCGCTATTGTCATACGGAAAGCATTGGAGACTTTGCAGGACGCTTCGCCTTGAATATCACAGCATCTGCTCAGGCTATGACCCAGACCAGCAAGCCAAACCCTTCCTGCAGGAGCTGATTATAGAGACATGGATTTGTTGTCTAGCCTTGTTTGCCTTCAAACAGCGAGGAGTACAACATTGATCTCAAAAGCTGTGGCCCCATGATTCTAGATGCCCTCATCAAGATCAAGGATGAGGCCTGCCGCACACAGGTGAATTTTGGTCTCCGGTCTCCATTGTGATTCTCGCAGGTTGACACAACTTTGACATTCCGCAGGCGCTGACAGTTTCTGACTTAATCTTAATGACTAACGGTTTCTGACCGGTGCTCGCAGATCCTGCCGGGAGGGCATTTGTGGATCCTGCGCTTGGGACTCAGTTTCTAGTGAAGTCCTACGCCCAAAGCCGACCTTAACCTGAACACAACCTGGAAGAGCTTCAACCTGGCTCCCAATATGACTTGCATCATGTGCACTTTTGGTACCAGATCCTACCGAAACCTCCAAGCACCTCCTAAGTTCATAGCACGCAACAAATGCACTTTTTGCGGGCCTTTGGAGCAGTTCCAAGAACAAAGGAAGTCTGTGCGCCACACGAGGCCATGAACATCAATGGCAAGAACGGGCTTGCTTGCTTGCTTTACATCGAGCCAAGTTCTTGACCCAGTGCACGAGACCCCACTTGCGTGTGGGCAAGTCGTTCCCGCACTCAGGCAGCAAGCCAATCGAAATTCAGCCCCTGCCACACACGTATGTAGTGAAGGAGATATGCGACAGAGCAATTGCACGCTTACTTATGTCGAAGTGCTTTTTGTGTTGATTTGTTTCATGCGTTTGGGAGGATCTTGTACCTGACCTCACGAACTTCTACAATCAGTAACAACCTTACATCGGTGGGTTCAGAAGTGCAGACTCTGCAGACTGTTTCTAAAGCACTTGCACCTGGGGTCACTTCTTGCAGGTACAAGTCAATTGAGCCCTGGCTGAAGCGCAAGGACAGGGTTTTGGCCGCTTCGGCAGTGCAAAAGGCTTTGGAAGTTTGTTCGACTTTGCTGCAGGATGTGAAAGCAAAAGACGACAAGGACGGGTCAGAAGTGAAGCATTCTTCAGGAAATGCAGTTAAATGCAACAAGACAAGAGTAGATGCAGAAGCTCCGTTGCGCTCAAACAACAGGACTAGCTTGTTGGTACTGCTGAACTTTGGGACGAGTTCAAACATTGGCAAGCCACTAGGGCCTAGGGTTTCAGACTTCAGCAGAAAGAACCAAAACCCTGCTTCAATTGGTTGATGGGAACAGGATTTCCTTTCTGAGCATTGTAATTGAAACCTCAAGACAACCTTTAAAAGCATCTTGAACATTGCACTTCATGCCGAAAAAGCATGGTGCGCATGCAAAGCTGTCATGGAAATGAGTTTACTCCTTTGTTTCGCGGGGATGTGGATGAAGACGAAGACGAAGGTTCAGAAGAGAGCAACTTCACAGATTCAGATGGTGAGGTTCGTGAGATCGAAGAGGTTGAAGATGAGGAAGAAGTTGAGGATATTGATGGTGCCTTTGCCGACGCCAAAGACTGCTGGAAGATTGATGCCGAGACTCTTAAGGGCTTCTACCTGCACAGCCCAACAGGTCAGCTCTTTAGCTGGGACCAAGCGCGTGGAGTTCTCTATGAATATCTTCGTGGATCAGGAGAGTGCCGTGCGATTTGGGCTGCTGGAGCACCACACCTGAGCTCGGAGATTTGGAGCATTCTTCCCTTGCCACCTACAGATCCTGCCAGCTTGCAAGTGCAAAGCAGCTCGAGCAGCTCGAGCTCCGGAGTTCTTTGCATTCTTCACCTCAGTAGGGCCAGGGCTGCACAGCGAGCTGCAACTGCTTCTGCTGACTTCTGTGATCGACTTCATTTGGGCAGCCGTGCTATGGAAGCCTTGCTTTCACTACCTCCAGCAGGTCAAGCATATGTACTGAGAACATTTTGTGCCCCACCAAACGATCCTGGTGGTGCACTGGTGCGACAAGTGGGAGCCTTAAAGAAGCTTGGTGGTAACGCTCCATATGCAAATGCGGTGGAGGAGGCCACCTTGCGAGTCCCTGCCTCTGGAGCAATCTTGGGTCGCTGTGTCCCTGAGATCGCAGCTCTGTGTTGGAACGACACTGATCCGGTTGCAGCTGCCCATTGCCGCATAACTTGTGTCAACGGCGAATACTCAGTATGTGACCTTGTTGCAGATGAAGATGGCACGCACTATGACGGTCGGCGCCTTGGAACAGAGTGGTGTCCTCTAAAGGATGGCTGCAAACTTGATATTGGACCCATTAGGATGGAAGTGGAACTCAAGCCTTTTGGCTCAACTGGGCAGAAAGATTGTGTTGATAAAAAGAAGCCAATGCCCAAGCGTGGCAGCTGGAGAGCAGCCAAGCGATTGACTACCGATGCTACTGAAACTGCATCTGAGAAGCGGTTGAAAAGGACTTCCTGTCAAAGTCAGCCTGAGTCAACCCCAGTGTTTGGCAGTGGCCCAGCAAGTGAATCTCCTGAATCTCAAGCCTTGGCGAACACTCAAAACACTCAAAACAGCATCCCTTCGAAGCAGATGTGGACTGCAAACTTTTCAGTGGCAGATGTGGACTGCACTTCAAAGCTTTCTGAGAGCTTCCCAAGCCTGAGTCCACCTCGTGACAGAGATTTGCTTCGCTTGCAAAAGCAGCGCGCCCATTGTCCTTCTGTCGGAGGTGGTGGGCGCGCTTTTTGGGCAATACCTCGTGACCCTTCGCCAGAGAGGCAAGAGGATGATTCACCAGAATGGGTTCCTCGAACTCCGCCGTGAGGTAAAATGATGTGCCTGGCGATGCTAAATTTCATAATCAAAGCGCTATAAGGAAAATGAAAAACATAAAAGACTTATAAGGTTTTGGGATGGGTTGGCTCTACCAAGAGATGCTTGTTCAGGATGTTGGTGGGTTCACAGGGTTTTGTTTGTTTCATGTCAGCCCGTGTTTGTCAAGCAGCTGTGGCAAACAGCCTTGCACACCTTTTCAACTCGTGTGGCTGCTGTATTGCTTTGTCGCGCGAGTCACAGACACATTCCCTCAGTATCTGTCGCTAGCATCAGTGCCTCTCCAGAAACATAAACAAAATCTTGTTGATAGAAGAGAACAGTTGAACAAACATAACTAACCTCACTTACAGTGGAGGCAACATAATCAAACAAAAGTGGAGATCGCCGACTATTCAGTTCAGGATTTGTTCAAGTGGCTAAAGAACGGCTGAGTTGGTTCAACTGTGCCAGACCCAACTCTAATAATCCTAAAGCTACTCATCTGTTCAGAAAAGAAGCCCTTGGAAAAGGCTCGCTACGAAAGCAAAGTTCCTAGGAAGACTTAGCCCTTTTCTGTCCGTGCAAAAGATCACGCACAGATGATGGCCGAGCAGAAAGAAAATCATCAATCACCTGATTTCCAGTGCGCTTCCCTCCAGAACCTTGGAGGCAAAAAAATAATGAACATTCAAAACCAGCTGAGAAATCGAACGCCTGCCTGAACAAACAAATATGATACAAAATCATACAACATCACTGATGATGTTGACAATCAAGTTGCCTTTGTTGACTCCAGCTTTTGCCTTTGGCTTGGCTGAGGCTTTCTTGGCTGCGGCTTTCTTGGCTGCTGCAAGAACAGAGGCTTTTGTCTTGGCGGTGGAGGCCTTTGCTTTTGCATGGGCAGCAAATGACTTCTTCTTTGGAGAGGCTTTGGTTTTGGGCTGCCGGGATCGTGCTTTGGGTTTTGCTGCTGGCTTTGCCTTGGGCGGCTGAGGCTGCTTTGCCTTTGGCTTAGTCAGAGACGCTGCAGCCGCAGCAGCAAGGGACTGTGGGCTCCTCGTATCAGAGACTGCATCTTGTGGGTCTGTGTCGGTGTCTTCTTGCATGGAAGCTTCTGACTCTGACCCGGAATCAATTTGCTCATCTTCTGAAGAGTGAGCCTGCTCGGCATCTTGTGGCACAGTCTCAGCCGGTGTTAGCTTCTGGTGTGTGCTTTGGCCTTGC